TCAACCGAGAAGATGGATTCTATCTTAGCAATCATTGGAAAGATTTGATAAACCATTTCAGTTCATAATTGATTGTTCACGCTTACAGTGGCTTTCAGACAGCATACATTATAAAAAATTTCGTCTCCCCCCTCCTCTTTTCAAAATATAGATGGACTAGTCCTGGGTAAACTGCCAAATCGCTGCGCGTGACGCTAACGTTTTTTATAAATAAATAAATGCGCCGTTTAAAAATACATTTATGCAAACCAACACACCTGAAGATGACCGTTTGAGTTATGGTCGAAACGTCGTGAGAATTTTTTTATTGTTTTATATATATTTTATTATTTTGTTGTTTCTCTTCAACGTGACTTTACCGAAAAAACTAAGAATATTAATTACTGCAGTCACGAAAGCTTTAAATCAAAATTTAACTGCCCCATCACCAATTGGGAGTTGGTGGGGGTGGAATGTCCGATTGTACAAAATACCTAGGCAGGTACTTAGTTTTGGTGGGGCTGATGGTAAGGCCCCACCTCTTAGTGGCAAGCTCCAGGTTCAGCAGCAGCACCTCCAACTCCTCCTCTGAGTGAGCGGCAATTACCAGATCATCGGCATACATAACGTGCTTGAGCAATAGGGAGCCATCCCTTGACCGCACCGGGCATCAATAAGCCTCCCATTATATCTGTACCAGATGGAAATTCCTCCAGTACAGCTATTGAAGGCTTCACGAACTACGTGGTCGAAATAGATGTTAAATAATGTGGGAGCCAGAGGACATCCCTGTCGCACCCCAAGATGAACAGGGAATGGCTCGAACTCCTGGCACCTCAGCCAGCCACTCACAGGGGATGACTTCCTCCTCCACTATTTGAGGCACCGCAGCCTCAGCAGGGTCATCCCCACTTTTTGCCACGATGTTTTCCAGGCTGAGGGATTTCCCCTCCCCCAGGACCTCACAGAAATGCTCAGCAAATCATAAAACCTGTTCCTGGGTGTCGGAGATTGGATCGCCGTTCTTTCCCCTAATGATGGCAATAGGTGTGGCGCTGCAGGTGACTTTTTGATGGAGTTAAAGAGTGATTTGTGATCGCTGGCCATTGAGGCAGACTCCATCTCCTCAGCAACCCGCGAACACCACCCATCCTTGCAGCACCTCACGGCTCTCCGAAACTCCAAGTGAAGGCTGTGGTAAGCCTCCTAATTCTCCGACGTGGGATGTTGTAGCCGATGAGAGTGGGCCTGTCGCTTTTTCTCAACCATCCTGAACACTTCCTCTGTCAGCCAGGATCTCTGGGGTGGTCTGGACCGTGTACCCAAAGCAGCCATTGCAACTGCCTGAGCCACAATCCTAAACCTCGCCCATTTCCCCTCGACATCAGGAGGAGTGGGGGACGATGCCAACCCCAGCCATAAGCTGTGATGAAATTCTAGCTTGCAACTTTCATTAGCTACCTGATACCATGCCACTAAGGGTTTGAATTGGGTCCTGGGTGTACACCCACCACTGGAGTGGAGGAATGGCAGGCGCATCTTACAAATGACAAGTCGATGGTCAGTGGGCAGATCAGCTCCACGGTAGGTCCTGGTGTCAAGGACATGGGCCCGCATCCGCTGTTCCGTCACTATGTAATCCAGCAGATGTTCTTGCTTGGACCCGGCATGCATCCACGATGTTGTGTGGATGCGCCGATGCTGGAACAGCGTGTTGGTAATTACAAAATTGAGCAGCCTCTGACCGTTGTTATTGAGCTGATCTGGCCCATGCCTTCCAATCACTCCTGACCAAGTGTTAGCATCATGACCAACTCGGGCATTGAAGTAATCCAACAAGATGACTATCCTGAGGGGCCACTTTAGCTAGCACCTGTGACAGGAGGTCATGGAAGGCATCTGACTCATCGGCCTTGCCTGCATCCCTCCACGGATGTTCGTTTTTGGTGGGGGCATAATTAACCACGATCACCACTCTTCGCCTCTGGTTGATGGGAAGACGAGCCCAAAGTAGTCTGGGGCTTACAGCTTCCCACACCTCACAGCCACGCTCCCACGCCCCCTTCATTCTTTTGTTCAGAAGAAGAGCTGCTCCCTGTTGTTTGACAGTCTCCTGCCACGAGTAGAGGACTGTCCAACCCTCATGATGGAAGGAGCCAGAGCCGGTCCACCGGACCTCCTGAATACTACAGATATCCAGGCAGTGCCGGTCCAGCTCCCGACAGAGGAGTGGCAGCCTCTCCTCCGCAGTGAGCGTTCAAACATTCAACGTGGATATCCGGAGTGTTTTTTTGTTTGTTTCTGGAGGAGCCCCGAGGGTAGAGATTCAATCTCCTGGCTCCGCCAAATGGGGTTTGGCCAGGAGACGCCATAGACGCATGTCCCCCCGGGGCCTCCAGCTCAAGCTTAGTTAGTTTTTTTAAAATCGTTGTTTGGTGGTAGTTAATTGAATATGGAGGGGTTACCAGCCCCTCGCACCCGTCCAGAGCCCCCATTTGGCCACTGTGGTGGTCACAAACGCCATGAGGGGAATGGCCAATCTAAGTTGGACCTCCCCCAATGCACTGCCTACCACAGCGTTGCCATCTGGCACCACGAGGAGGTCGGGGGTGGTTTTTGCGTGACGCAGCACTCGCCCCCACCACTCCCTCGGCTCTCGCCTGCACTCGGGGCACCAAACCACCCACTTTCCACACCCCCCCACCCCCTACTCGCCCACCCACCTATCTACCAACTTACCTACCTAGCCACCTGCCCATTTGTTCACCGACAATCCCACTCACCTATTTGGCAACTATTCTATACCTATCTGCCTACTCGAGTGCCCACGGTCCACCCCACCCTTCTCAGACATCTTTCCTTCTAGATTTAAAGTTTTCATGACTGCAGGGATCCATATTCTTTAGTTCTTTCGGTAAAGTCACGTAGGTATAAAATGAAATAAATTAAATCACAACATTTCGATTGCAACACAAGCAATCATCATCAGGCAGGGTGACGTCATCGTCTAACCCAATCTGGTGCAGTGATTTTAGGCGGAATGGGAGAGTTTTGTAATTATATAATGCATTGGTAATTATTAAATTATTATTAATTAGTATTTTATTTCCCCTATAAGGAATTGTAATTGTAATATGGTGGAGGGTTACGACAGATTTATAAATAACGCAATCTAACCCAAAAACGTTTATTATGAATAATATTGGTCGCGAAAGCCTACGTGTTAAACTCGAATAAAATATATTGTTTTTTTTCAGGTTTGTGTAAATTATGCTATTCTTATCTCAATATTGGTCTCTCGTATCTGGCTTATTGTTGTGACGGTTGAGGATTGGGCTTGCTCGTCCTTGTGTGCCAAAGAGATGGAGGAGACAACTGGACTTGCGTCTAAAACACAGGAACCGCTCAATAGAGTAACAATAATATGGGTTGTCCACCTACAATACAGCACCAGCACGGCTACACCCACACTCTCCCATACCCATCCTCACCCATCCTCACCTACCCACACTCACTCATCCACACTCACCCACCCACACTCACTCATTCACATTCACCCACCCACACTCACTCATCCACACTCACCCACCCACACTCACCCACCCACACTCACCCAGACACACCCACACTCACCCACACCCACCCTCACCCATCCTCACCCACCCACACTCACTCATCCACACTCACCCACCCACTCACACCCACCCACACCCACCCTCACCCACCCACACCCACCTACACTGACCCATACCCACCCACCCCTCACTCACCCGCCCACACTTACCCTCACCCACCCATACTCACCCACACCCACCCACCCTCTCCCAAACTCACCCACACTCACCCACACTCACCCACACTCTCCCCACTCACCCACACTCACCCACACTCACCCACCCACACTCACCCACACTCACCTTCACTCACCCACACTCACCCACACTCTCCCATACTCGCCCTTACTCACCTACACTCACCCACACTCACCCACACCCACCCTCACCCATTCTCACCCACCCACACTCACTCATCCACACTCACCCACCCACACCCACCCTCACCCACACTCACCCACACTCACACACACTCACCCACACTCACCTACACTCACCCACACACACTCACACACACTCACCCACACACACCCACACTCTCCCACACTCTCCCAAACTAACCCAAACTATATTCTTGGTTCTTTCGGTAAAGTCACGTTGAAGGGAAACAATAAAATAATATTGTTTTATAAATATATTTTATTATTTTATTGTTTCCCTTCAACGTGACTTTACCGAAAAAACCAAGAATATGAATCACTGCAGTCACAAAAGCTTTAAATCAAAATTTAACCCATACTCACCCACATTCACCCACCCTCACCCACCCACCCACACTCACCCACACACACCCAAACCTTCCCACACTCAACCACACTCACCCACACTCACCCTCACTCACCCACCCACACTCACTCTCACTCACCCACCCACACTCACCCACACCCACACACACCCACACCCACACACACCCACACCTTCCCACACTCACCCACACATTCCCACACTCACCCACACTCACCCACACTCACTCACTCACACACCTACACTCACCCACACTCACACACACACACACTCACCCACACACACTCACTCACACTCACCCACACTCACACACACTCACCCACACTCACCCACACTCACACACACTCACCCACACACACTCACTCACACTCACCCACACTCACACACACTCACCCACACTCACCCTCACTCACCCACACTCTCCCACACTCTCCCATACTAACCCAGATTCACCCACACTCACCCATACTCACCCACATTCACCCACCCACACTCACCCACCCACCTCACACTACCACACTCACCCACACCCACCTACACTCGCCCACCCACACCCACCCACGCTCGCCCACCCACACTCGCCCAACCACACTCACCCACCCACAGCCACGCAGACGTGTGTGTGTATTTGTGTGCTTCCTGTAAATTCTCCGTGACACCAGCCAAACAGCGTATAAATAGCGCGCGCTGTTAACATTACAATCACAGAGCCGAGTGGAATCGCGAGGAGAAGCGGTAAGCACTGGGAAAGAGCTTTGAGGTTACATCGCGTAAATATATGAATGTTGCGTCGTTAAACCGGCCACCACCCGACACAGACAACTAGTGAGGGTTGTCACGTAAACAGAGTGTGGCCAATTCGTCACCAGTACAGCACTAGTGTATAGTGTAGTGAATCTTAGTGCAGTGTATGGTGTACTGTATAGGAGTGTACTGTATAGGAGTGTACTGTATAGTCGTGTAGTGTATAGTATTGCGTATAGAGTAGTATACTCGTACATCACTAGTGTATAGTGTAGTGTATAGTGTAGTGTATAGTAGTGTGGTGTATAGTAGTGTAGTGTATAGTAGTGTAGTGTATAGTAGTGTAGTGTATAGTAGTGTATAGTATAGCAGTGTAGTGCATAGTAGTGTATAGTGTAGTGTATAGTAGTGTATAGTGTAGTGTATATTAGTGTAGTGTATATTAGTGTAGTGTATAGTAGTGTAGTGTATAGTAGTGTAGTGTATAGTAGTGTAGTGTATAGTAGTGTATAGTGTAGTGTGTAGTAGTGTATAGTGTAGTAGTGTATAGTGTAGTAGTGTATAGTAGTGTAGTGTATATTAGTGTAGTGTAACGTAGTGTATAGTGTAGTAGTGTATAGTGTAGTGTATATTAGTGTAGTGTAACGTAGTGTATAGTCTAGTGTATATTAGTGTAGTGTAACGTAGTGTATAGTGTAATGTATATTAGTATAGTGTAACGTAGTGTATAGTGTAGTGTATATTATTGCAGTGTAACGTAATGTATAGTGTAGTAGTGTATATTAATGTAGTGTAACGTAGTGTATAGTGTAGTGTATAGTGTATAGTGTAGTGTATAGTGTGGTGTATATTAGTGTAGTGTAACGTAGTGTATAGTGTAACGTAGTGTATAGTGTAGTGTATATTAGTGTAGTGTAACATAGTGTATAGTGTAGTGTATAGTGTAGTAGTGTATAGTGTAGTGTATAGTGTATATTAGTGTAGTGTAACGTAGTGTATAGTGTAGTGTATAGTGTAGTAGTGTATAGTGTAGTGTATATTACTGCAGTGTAACGTAGTGTATAGTGTAGTAGTGTAACGTAGTGTATAGTGTAGTGTATAGTGTAGTAGTGTATAGTGTAGTGTATATTAGTGTAGTGTAACGTAGTGTATAGTGTAGTGTATAGTGTAGAAGTGTATAGTGTAGTGTATATTAGTGGAGTATAACGTAGTGTATAGTGTAGTGTATAGTGTAGTATTCTCGTACAGCACACCGGTGTGTTTGAGAGCCAAGCTACAACATTTACAATCTGAGTACGATAATCACTTTAAAACAACTTTGCTTTCTTACAGGAATACGCCTTTGCATGTGAACACGGTAGGCGCTCGCGAATAATATTCACAACTTGAGTGTTTGTAGATCGCGTAAAATATCTAACCCAGCCCGCCCTCCCACCCAAAAAGAACAACAATTAATTACGGATTTATTTTCATCAATCGTTCCATGAACTGTGATTACCCCGCGTATATGTTTCGTGTTTAATTCTCACTTGCACATTCGTTTATCTGTTATTTTGTATACTCCGACGAACGTGATTCTAATTCTCGGACAAAATGCATGGATGGCAATCAAATGGTCTGATACGATCGCCCACGACTAACACTGCCCATAGACTCAACACTGCCCATAGACTCAACACTACCCATAGACTCAACACTGCTATAGACTCAACACTACCCATAGACTCAACACTGCCTATAGCCTCAACACGACTTATAGACTCTATACTACCCATAGACTCAACACTACCCATAGACTCAACAATGCCTATAGCCTCAACACTACTTGCAGACTCAACACTACCCATAGACTCAACACTACCCATAGACTCGACACTGCCCATAGACTCAACACCCCCATAGACTCAACACTGCACATAGACTCAACACTACCCATAGACTCAACACTACCCATAGACTCTACACTACCCATAGACTCAACACTACACATAGACACAAGACTGCCCCTAGACTTAACACCACCCAGAGATCAACACTGCCCATAGACTCAACACCCCCATAGACTCAACACTGCACATAGACTCAACACTACCCATAGACTCAACACTACCCATAGACTCTACACTACCCATAGACTCAACACTACACATAGACACAAGACTGCCCCTAGACTTAACACCACCCAGAGATCAACACTGCCCATAGACTCAACACCCCCATAGACTCAACACTGCACATAGACTCAACACTGCCACCCATAGACTCAACAACACCCAGAGACTCAACACTGCCCATAGACTCAAGACCCCCATAGACTCAACACTGCACATAGACTCAACACTACCCATAGACTCAACACTGTCCATAGACTCAACACTACCCATAGACTGAACACTACCCATAGACTCAACACTACCCATAGACTCAACACTGCCCATAGACTCAACACTTCCCATAGACTCAACACCACCCATAGACTCAACACTACCCATAGACTCAACACTACCCATAGACTCAACACTACCCATAGACTCAACACCACCCAGAGACTCAACACTGCCCATAGAATAAAATAACACAATTGTAATTATTTATCAATTTATTATTTTATTCTCATTCTACGTGACTTTACCGAAAGAACCAAAGAAGATGAATCCTTGCAGTCACGAAAGCTTTAAATCGAAATTTAACTGCCCATAGACTCAAGACCCCCATAGACTCAACACTGCCTATAGACTCAACACTACTTATAGACTCAACACTACCCATAGACTCTACACTACCCATAGACTCAACACAACCCATAGACTCAACACCACCCATAGTCTCAACACTGCCTATCGACTCAACAGTACTTATAGACTCAACACTACCAATAGACTCTACACTACCCTTAGACTCAACACTACCCATAGACTCTACACTACCCATACACTCAACACTGCACATAGACACAACACTGCTCCTAGACTCAACACCACCCAGAGACTCAACACTGCCCATAGACTCAACACACCCATAGACTCAACACTGCACATAGACACAACACTGCTCCTAGACTCAACACCACCCAGAGACTCAACACTGCCCATAGACTCAACACCCCCATAGACTCAACACTGCCTATAGACTCAACACTACTTATAGACTCAACACTACCCATAGACTCTACACTACCCATATACTCAACACCACCCATAGACTCAACACCACCCATAGACTCAACACTGCCTATAGACTCAACAGTACTTATAGACTCAACACTACCCATAGACTCTACACTACTCTTAGACTCAACACTACCCATAGACTCAACACTACCTTAACACTGCCCGTAGACTAACACTGTCCATCTTTAATGTCTACATCTTTAATGCCTACATCTTTAATGGCTGTATATTTAATGCCCGTATCTTGAATGGACCTATCTATAAGTGAGGGTGCAAAAGCGCATGCACATTTTTTGCTGGTATCCGTACGTATTTGTGTTTTTTGGAGTTGTTTGAGTTGTGTCCAGTATTTACGCGTGGTGTGTGTAGACGTACATGCATGTTATTTATATGTGGGGAGCGGTGGCGCAGCGGTTAGCGTATACGCTGGGCGAACAAATCCAGCGGCCCGAGTTCCAATCCTGCTCACGGCCACCAACATTACCAGTGACAGCGATTATCAAAACCGGCCCTGGGACTCCCCTAGATCGACTCGGCCTAAAACCAGTTACCTGGTGCGATGTGAAACTATTGTATTAATTGGCTGTCGGGTGGTGGCGGCCTGAACGACACTTATATATATTTTACGCTATCTAACCCAAAAAACGTGTATTATGGATGATATTGTTCACGAAAGCCTTCTACGTGTTAAACAGAATTAAAAAGAAGTTGACGAAACATTGCAAATCGAGCGTAGACATATCTTGCCACGACCCACAAGCCCTGGCCACTGTTAATTTAAAATCGCTCCAAACTTTTCAATTTATCCTCCTGTCAATGCAATTTACTTAGCCACAATTATCCTTTGGATCCTAGATAACATTTAACTAAATAACATCCTCGCAACACATCGCCTCGGCTTATTATTACTTGACAAAGACTCCTTTTAAGTACTCCAAGTATGCATTTAGGATAGCGTATTTTTACGGTTCCTAGTATTATTATTATTTTTATGGAATATCTGTTGGACTAACGTAGAATTTCTTTTTGGCTTGTGTAAATACTCTTAGGTGGGTTGCAAGCGGCCTGAATCCCAATGTCCATCTGCCTGACGATGTCGGCTTGCCCCACTCCTGCTACCTCTTAAACACGAGGTGAGTAGTCAATGGGGAATTATTTGGTCAAGGAAGTCATTTTATGTGTGGCTGTTAAAATGCACAACAACGATGCACTGTGCCAAGGTGGATCGAAGGTGGGCTGAGGAGTGAGTGAGTGCGTGAGTGAGTGGGTGGGTGTGTGATTGGGTAAGTTGGTCAGTAATTGGATGTGTGAGTGAGTGGGTGCGTGATTGAGTGGGTACGTTGGTCAGTAAGTGGGTGGGTGAGTGAGTGTGCGTGGGTGAGTAGGTGGTTGAGTTAGTAAGTTGGTCTGTGAGTGGGTGAGTGAGTAGGTAAGTTGGTCAGTGAGTGGGTGGGTGATTGGGTGCACGCGTTCCACGTCATAACGTGATAGCGATGGCAGTTCGTACTGACGTAGCAGTTGTGTGGCTGTAAATAGAATGCCTATTAATAATCTTGCATTGCATCATTGGTTTTGTGCAGTCATGTCAATGATTGTGGTTGCTTGAAAATATATATTTAGAACAAAGTAATAATCTGTACACAACCCATCCACCAGTCAAATGTATTGTTGGTCCCATCGGAGTGCCGATCCATGTCCATGCGAATAACGTTCACCTTGCCTATGGCGTTCTGTGTGTTGCAGAACTTCCATTGGTGTCTCGACATGGAGACTGCAGCAGTGCAAACAGATGGACAACCATCACAGGTAACTACAGGTCTCTTTTTCCCATCCTGGAAACTAATCTAACCCTTGTTTATATGTATATATATATTTATAATACTGCGTATCGTTGTCGTTAACTTATTATTGCTTCACCAGTCCGGTGAAGTAAGGTTAAATAACCCTTACTCCAATTGTAACGCGGTACTTTGTCCAGCCGCTGGACAGAGGTCGTTACTGCTGATACGGTCGCAATTTAGTATGTGCCCTCTTTCGATGGGAGCGCTCTGTGTGCCACAGATCAGCAGATTTAATTTAAAACATGGTGGCCTATCCTTCCTGTATATAAATATACTAGCAGGAAGTACCCAGCATTGCCCGGGCCAAAAATTTATATCTAAACTACTTTTAAAAATCTTACATATACATACACAGATACTAAGGTATTGTGAAAGGCCAGTGGGCCGTTTGTCCATTTCTCCATCAACAAAATTATAAGAGGCTTGGAGAAGTCCAAAGTTTATAGAAAGTGTGGGGTAAATAGTTGATATCAAAGGTTTGCAAAAATTGTCGCCCCCACCCCCCATCATAAAATAAATTTACCCCTGCGTAGGTATATATACCTACACACCCTACATACACCAGAGTAAGTCGTATCTATTGACTCTGTATCTACTGACTGTACAGTATTATCTACTGAACCAGTAGTAGCTACTGACTGTTTAGTAGTATTTACTGACTGTAGTAACTACAGACACTATAGTAGTATGTACTGGCCCTACAGTAGTATCTATCGACTTTACAGTAGTAACTACTAACTCTTTAGCGGCATCTACTGTCTCTATAGTAGCATCTACTACCTATAGCAGTAGCTACTGACTCTATAGTAGTATCTACTGACTGTATAATAGTTTCTACTGACTCTATAGCAGTAGTTACTGACCGTAGTATCTACTGACTGTATAGTAGTATCTTCTAACTGTAGCAGTATATACCGACCGTGGTGGTATATACTGACTGTTTTAGTATCTACTAACTCTACAGTAGTATTTACCAACTCGATAGCGGTATCTACTATCACTGCGGCAGTGCATACCGACATTGGTGGTACCTGCTATCACTACAGCAGTGCATACTGACTGTGGTGGTATCCTACATTGACTACAGCAGTGCACACTGACTGTGGTGGTACCTGCTATGATTACAGCAGTGCATACTGTGGTGGTACTTGCTATGAATACAACAGTGCATACCGACCTTGGTGGTACCTGCAATGATTATAGCAGTAGTACATACTGTGGTGGTACCTGCTATGATTACAGTAGTGCATAATGACTGTGGTGGTACTTGCTTTGGTTACAGCAGTGCATACTGTGGTGGTACCTGGTTTCACTACAGTAGTGCATACTGACTGTGGTGGTACCTGCTATTATTACAGCAGTGCATACTTACTGTGGTGGTACCTGCTGTGATGACAGCAGTGCATAGTGACTGTGGTAGTACTTGCTATCACTACAGTAGTACTTTCTGACTCTATAGCATTATTTATTGACTCTATAGCACAAAGTACTAACCAGACAGGGTGCCGTGGTGAAGCTTAGTCTCGCGCAGAGCCCCCCGCCTCGCCTAGATTGCCCAGCCAGCCGAGGTGACACCTTGGCAGGCTGGGGTTGGGCCGCTAGCCCCCCCCCCCCCACCATCCCCCCGCCCGCGCTAGAATCATACTATGTAAGCGCTATCATATTAATATGTACGGACTGTATAGTAGTAACTGCACGTATTGGGGTGGGGGGGGGACATCACACATTGAAGAATTTACCTCAGCGTTTTGTCTTTTTTAATAGCATTTTTAACGCGAAAGAAGATTTCCCCCTCACCCCCACAAACACTGAGTATTTATTTCTATTTCGATTTAAAGCTTTCGTGACTGCAGGGATTCATCTTCTTCGTTGTTTCGGTAAAGTCACGTAGAAAGGAAATAATAAAATAATAAAAATACAACATAATAAAATAAAATTCTCATGACGTTTCAGCCACAACACAAGCAGCCGTCCTCAGGTGAAGAACAGAGGTGTCTGAAAAGCAGCGTCGTAATGAACACTAAGCTTGGCAGCGTATATTTAAGCTGGGTTGGAGGGGCAGAGTGCCTTGACAAAAGGGTTTACATATCAACAGAGGAATTTAGCATATTGACACTAAAGAACTGCAACTGCCCTACTTCCATCCAATAAACCAATGTGAAAAATCTAAATATAAACTACATCAATATGATCAATGTGCTCAATATACTCTCCAATAAGCTGAGCTATTAACATTAAGTAACTGGGTATACACTACACTATGTAATGACTAACATATAGTGAACCGATAAAGAACTAAAATATAAACTACATCAATATTATCAATATACTCAATATACTCTCCAATAAGCTGGAAGAACGTAGGGTAGATGTCTGAATGGCATCTGTTTCAAATTTCTCCATGAAAACATTCGCTACCACTGGTGATAAGGGGGAACCTATGGGGGTACCTTCATTTTGTTTGTGGAAAGTGCCATTCTAGGTGAAGTAAGTGTTGGTAAGGCAGTGCCTAACCAGAGTAGGAACATCAGGGTTCAGTCCATGTTGGACTAAATCTTCAATTATTGCTGAGGTGTCAGGCACAGGCACCTTGGTGAACAGAGAAACCACACCAAAGCTGACGAGAAAATCATCTGGGGACAGTGAAATGTCTTTGATTAGGGAGACCAAGTGAGCTGAGGTATGTACTGCTGAGGTAATCTAGCCAGTGAATGGAATAAATATGTTAACCATAATAGAGGGTGGTTGTTGCAATTACTGGTGAATCATCGCGGTTACTCGAATGTATTTTGTGGATTTACCCTCCAACACACAACAACCGGTTAGTGCTAAACTAGTAACGAATTGGCACAACGTTTTGCTTATGTGACAAACCCCTCACTGATTGGCTGTGTCAGCTGGTGGTTGTGGTAGATTTACCAACACACATTTACATTTACGCGATTTATCCCAAAAATACTCTCTATTATGGATAATATTAGTTGCAAAAGCCGTGCTACTACTACTTGTTAGACTGAATATTACGTTATTGACAATTGAACACGTTTGTATCTTTTTAGGAAAGTGGAAATATTGTCAAGAAAGATGACGTGTACATGGAAGACGTCACCATAGTTCTACCGATTGTAAAGAATGGTGTCAGTGGCCTTGGTGAGCTCTGGAATTGTCATAGCTCTGAAACAACTAATCAAAACCTGTTCAAGAAACAACTCGAAAGTGAACACCTGATTGCCCACCCACTCAAGAAGCTTGAGTACAGCTTGACACACATCAAGGGAACTGAAGACCAAATCGCAATGGTCAAAGCTCATGGCTCCATAGGCCTGGAGCTGCTATGTGGGCTCATTAAAGTTGAAGGATTGGCAGACTATAGCAATAAATCTGTGAGAAGCGTGAACGAAGAAAAAATAATCTGTCAGTACAATTTGGAAAACTTTTCAATCTCCTTGCTTCCAAGAGCTAATATGGAAATCGATGAGCACGTACACACCCAGCTGATGAAAGGAAGCATCAAAGCAACACACGTGGCATTCAGGGTGATCTTGGGCGCGGAAGTGAATGCGCACGTACTGGTCACGCGGAATGAGACAAAAAGGAGCGGTGGCATCAGCGGCAATGCGCTTGGGAAACTTGGTTTTGGCAAAGTAACGGCCTCTCTGAAAGCTCAGCTCGAGTGGTTGGACACGAGCGAGGCGAATGACTACCGCACACAGATCAACATTCACTCCAAGCCGCCAATGAAGCGGCAGCCATCCACGGTCAAGGAGATGTTTGAGTTGGTGGAAAATATCGACGTGTCTGTTGCCAATGAGCAACATTACAAGTTCAGTGACGCGAACATCACGGGAGTGCCGATTCGCTGGGTTCTTGTACCCATTGCGCAGTACCTGGACATTGACGTGGAGAAGCTCTACTTGCAGATCAGCGAGACTTTACTCTGCGACTTCAGAGCCATGCTCATCTCCCTGCAGGATTCTCGTCAGCCCGATTGCATTAAGAGACGAGTGCTCGAGAAAGAGCATCGTCTGCAGTGCGTCCTCTCGGACTCCAGCTCCCCACTCTCTCGAGACATTTCACAATACGAGAAGATACTCAACAAAAATGTCGAATCGTTCTTTATTTGTGCCTGTAAGGCTTTGAGAGATTATAAGCAGGCGGCAATCACATCCAGGGAGCTTCACAAGCTCATAGAAGAATATGAAATGTCTAACTTCAGCGCAATTGACATATACACAAAGGTGGACAAATTCGTGATGGATGGAAAACACGAACTTGACGGAATCCATGAGAAAGATGTAACTCAAATGGAGGCTAAAATCTGCACCTTTACCAACCGTGAATTGTTGAACGAATGGATGAACACAGAGTCGAACATTAAAATATTGTTGCAGACAAAGGGTGGCCGTTCCAGTGGAGTATTCCATCGCCTCTTTAAAATCAGTCATGCACTAAAAGAGCAAAACATTGATGTGGGAATTGCACTGCCTTCCATCTCTGATGACTTCTCTCTTACAATTAAGGCTAGAGAACACCAAAAGTGTAATCAGGTGGCTGATATTCCACTCATCCTTGGTATTGTTGGTGCCATCGTGACCACAGACTCGTCAGTGGAGAATCAGTTTTACACGATCATGGCTTCACGCTTCAACATCACTTTGCCGCTTCAGACGAACGAACTTAAAGAGCTTAATCGCCTGGTAGAATTATTGAAAATAGGAGATGTACACATTGCCTCCTCCTACATGGAATCTTTAGAGTGCCTCATGAGTGGCGACTATCACTGGATGTTTTTTGTCCCACTTGATGCATTGGACACTGCCTATGAATCCATAGTCGGCCTTGGCGACAACTTGAAACGACTCGCCTGTGCCAATGGAAAGTGGGTGGTGGGTAGGCTGGACATTGTCAACCAGCACGAAGCGCCCTTATTGTTTGTCCTTCATGACAAGGAAGTGAAAGCCATATGTCTAGACCATCTGGACATTATGATTCTTGTCGATCTCTTCAACAAAGCGGCTACCTCTGAACACAATGAGCCCGATTTGTCCGTCCTGTCGCCAGAGTCCCTGAAGTGTTCTATCTATCACAACAGAGCCGCTTACGCAGTTAAGGCCATGGAACTCATGGATCAAGCAAATCATTCTGAGCACAATTATAATCACCTAAGGATGCAGTCGTTTGAGGATAATGTCGATGAGAAGCTTACCGATGCACTGCACATTGTCCGCAGTTGTCTTTCCCGAGTAGACATGAATGTTATTGCAATGGTTACACATTTTGCCATAAGGGATAATCCAAAAATTAGCAGTATTCTCGAGAAACACGGATGGAGAAACGTGGATTGCAGTTTTGGCAAGGTCCATCTAGAGCTGCAAGATTGTGAGTTGATCAGTACTGGGCTGCAAGAGTGGTTAAGTTCTGAAAACCAAGATGGAATGACTCATGTAAAATCACTGATTTCAATTTTGAAACAGATGTATAAAAATGACTCATATTGCTTTAATGCCTATGATGTCATAAATATATATGTTGGTCGAATTGATTTCAGTAACTTTCAATATTCCAATTCAAACACATTCATTGATCAATGCATAGAGAGACATCAACTTCACGCATTGATTCAACATCTCTCCAAATTACAGTATAATCGTCACCTGGTCATGCTGCAGCTTGCTTTTGACAAACTCAAAGAGGTAAATGAGCCCAAGGCAGTTGTCGGGGTGCTGCAACTGCTGTCAAACCTTGGGCTGCAAGAAAATCAATGGGAAGATCTCTGGACCAATTCTTCGTTCAAGTACCTCATTAGACGTGTAATCGAGGACTTTGACGTGCTTCAAACGATGAACCTCATGGATCACATATTCATTCCAAGCGAATTTCAAGATAAGTTCCCATGCAACAGTGTGTCTCTAATGCCAAATGACTTTTCAAGTTTGGAAAGTGTTTTGAGCACGTTTCAGAAAATCATTACTCTGAAAGAAATCCCACGACATTTCACTTCCAAATTTGTACAGTCCATTGCCAAGGATGCCACTTTGGAGAAATCGCTAAATGAAGCCAACGCTCTGATATATTGGAAAGAAAGGGATAAACAATTCAGCGAGGTTTGGTCTCTGCAGACAATCAAGGATGCTGTGAAAAATATTCACAAGTTTAACAAGAATAAAGAGTCAGCCGAATTACGTAGAATGCAGAGAGATGTTGGTATCGATGTGAAGGTTGATCGTCAAGCAACTACCTCCAGTGTGCAAGTTAAGAAAGCGGTTGTGATGGTGCGTGAAGATTGGCACTCAGTGTTTGGCAAATCCTTGCCAATGATCACAACGTATGAGTACGTGATGGTGCGTGGAGTTATCAAGCAACCAGATTTTTCCTCTGAACAAACATCATCAATCATGAATGAAGCTCTGCCATATTTCATGCAGACATTTAAAATGTGGGGGGGCAATATTCTTAGAGCAGATGCGATCTGTAGGTTGTGTCAAAGAGAAACTGCAACCGTCATTGGCCATGCCAGTAAACGTCCCAATTTTACAGCTAACATTGGTAATGCGCGCAATGCTCAGCAAACACGACAGAAGAACAAAGCTTCCCTGTCTCGACTCGACTGCATCGTTGCTCTGCTCAGTGCTGCTGATTGCACAGTCGTTCAAGAGATGCTGCAGATAATGACCAAGTTCCCAATGGCGCTCCCGCTGGTGATGCCAGATCTGGAACTTGCAGGCAAGTTGAAGGTGATGCTTCTCCTGTTTGCCGGCAACACGATTAAGTGGGAGTCTCAACCTGGCGTCATTGCTGAGAACCACCTGTTCCTCAGCCCTTTCAGACTCATCCTGGCCGTTAGACTCGGCAGCGGTTCTTGCGGGAAGAGCACAATCCTCAACCAGCTCATGGCCGTGGAGAACATGTTCTCGTCGTGTGGGGAACCAGGAGCCCAGCGAGGGCCACCTCTGACCCTGGCCGGGACGGTGGAGTTCACGTGGCTCACACAGGAGACGTGCAGCGCCAGCCTGTGGGAATCTGTCATGCAGGAGTTTTACTTGCAGGGGCAGCAGGAGATTGTGCTCCTTGCGAACCTCCATGGCGATGCCCTCGAGCACCCAACAACTCTCGAGTTCCTGAAGACGTTCACCTCAGCATACCTGATTTTCATGATGCCAGGAACAAAGAACATCTTGGCAAAGAGAAATGAGGAGTTTGTCAAACATGCACGTTCTGAAGATGAATCCTTCTTCCTCCTTGTCGATCCTTCAGCGGACTGCGATGAAGCAGACGAAATCATCATTCAGACATCAACGCTGACAAAGGACGCTACTCTGGAGAAGGTGCGCTCCATTTTCAAAGAAATTCTAAAAATTCCTTCTCAAAAAATTACGCTCAACCGGAAGCTTGAAAGCAACGAAATATGCGACCCACTGTCTCTCGCACATGGGATTGAATGTTTCGAATCACAACGAGTGATAGATTTCGTTCAACAGAAGACGTGTAAAGATATTAGAAAAGCCATGCATTTTCAAATGCATACAACCAGTCAAAGAACAAATCTGATTCGATCATGGAGGGACAACGAGATACTCCAGCAGCTGATGACACTTTATGGGGCAGTTTTGAGCCTGCCTCTTTCAGAAAGACTAAAAGCCATGGCCCATCTTGAGAGGGATATCTCACTCCTATCCAATGCAGAATCCTCGAATATTAGACAAAAAGTTGCAACTAAAATTGAGGACTTGCAAGGACAAATTGTTCAAAAGAGTCAAGACAAGACATTTGTGAATAAAATAAAAATGGATATTAATGATAACTTGAAAGAGCTAGACCATATGTGCCTTGGTTTGGAGCATTTCTTTCGTGAGTTGGGTCATATTTATGAGATAGTACAAGGGGGTCAAAGTAAAAATGAAGACATATTAACATTTCCAAAATTGTATGGAGAGTTGCTCACCCAAGGCCATGCCATTGAACTGCTTAATGGTGACACCAGCGAAATGCCCGGAGCGTGGTTGGCAGACATCTTTCAACATATTTCCCGCAACTTCCCAACACTCCGCATATTCGTGATCTCCATACTGGGATTGCAGTCGTCTGGGAAATCCACGCTCCTGAACGCCCTCTTCGCTTGCAAATTCGCCGTCTCCGTTGGCCGCTGCACCCGCGGTCTCTTTATGAGGCTGCTCTTCTTGGAGGAGAAGCTCGTGAAGAAGCTCAAATGCGACGTGATCGTGCTCATCGACACCGAGGGACTTGGGGCGCCAGAGAAAATGAGCGACGACAACGCGGAACAAAAAGACCGAATACTCGCAACGTTCGCAATGAGCGTGAGCAACCTCACACTCATCAACGTCCTCGGGGAGTACATGCGGGATTTGGCTGAAATCCTGCAGATCGCGATCGTCGCGATGGCTCGGCTCGAAGAGGTTAAGATGGCGCCGGACATCCTCATGGTGCAGCATCTCACGGAGAGGAACTCGGCCATGATGTCATCGGCACAAAACCAATTCTGTCAAGCGATTGAAAAGGCACTGGAGCTTACGGAGAAGAAGGATTTTGACACGGGCATTGCCGATGTCAGCTGCTTGAAGAACCTGACTGACAGGATCCAGAATGGGAAGCTTCTGAAACAATTCCGCCCATTCAAGAATGGGGCTAGCGCTGGTTCTCCCCCATCGGCGCAGTACCATGAGGATGTGATGGATCTGTATAAAACGATCCTGGATACTTGTGCAAAGTCGGGTGGCTCGGTGCTCTTCTCAGAATGGCACTCGCGTTTACAGAGCTTTTGGAGTTGCATCTCCAAGGACAATTTTGCCGTCCGATTCAAAAACATCAAAGAGATTTATGAATTCATTGACCGTGGGCACCGAATTGCAGCCGTGAAAGAGGCCGCTGATGCAGCATTTTTTTTGCACACAGAGAAGCTGAAAAGACAAATGCGTACAATGGTGCAGGATTGGAATGAAAAAACTCAACATCTGCCTTACCAAAATGTGTTGAGATTATTCGAAAAAGAATTAAAAGTGGTGCCTTATGGCTGTAACGATGGTGCATCAAAAACATTCCGATGCAAGGCATGTGAGGATGTCTCTACAAAAATCTATAGTTTACAGGCATATGCAAAAAAAAAACATTGCGAGCTGGAGATAATGAAAACGGTTAACAGCTATGTACAGCGCATCCGCCAGTCCAATTTGACGATCCTCACCCAGATACTGGACGCCGCCGTGGTGCGTCAAGGCTGCTCGGAGCAGTTCTTTAAGGAAATTAAGCGATGCCTAAAAACGGAATTGATGAAACGGCCAGCTGGAGATTTCTCTGACGAGGAACGCAGCATTATTGTCGAGAATATTCTATCGAGTCTGTCCAGGATCGCTACTTCGATGAGAAAGGATTTACCAGATGATAGAAAACTCAAAGAAGAGCTAGAAGATGAATATGAGCAAGCGCCTTCTGTGTCTGCTCGATACGGTAACAAGACACCTCTGAAGTCATTTGGAATCAGAGAAGTAGAAGCAGTAGCAGTACAGAAAAATAGGTGGTCACCGCCATTGAAATGTCCATGGTTACCGAAAAAGATCGATAACAGCATAATTGAAAATATCGCTTTGCTAGAGAATGATTTAGAATCATTGCCTAAGCTAATACTCAAGGATAAGAAGGCTGAGCATTTTGAAAATGGTATGATTCGTGAACTTAAAAAAAGAATAGAAACATCTATACGTCTTTATGAAGAAAAACAACATGTTAAACTGCCGACAGATATCAAGTGGGAAGCCCACTTATTCACTCTCCGTAAATTTGGAGAACTCATGTCAGTGTGTCAAGATAAATGGGAAAAACAACACTGCCCAATTGCAATCCTGCAACAAAAGAGGGAGGAGTTCAGAGCAATAATAGACATTCAACTTCGAGGTGGATTTTCATCTGCTTCCGAAGGGAGAATCATTTCCAAATATCTCTTGGATGCTATTCGACAGAGATCTATTAAGTCAGCAAATCGCAAAAAGGTAGAAGCCGTGCTGGATTTGCACTGGACAACCAATAGTGAGAAGGTTCGCCTCACCTACTTTGAGCATCTGGCCACCCAGGTCGATAAGAAACAAACCGCAGAGGCGCTACAGCACTTCGCACATCCAAATTCCACGATTGAAAATTGGTTCTCCAAGAGGGTCGACAGCCACGCCTGTGGAAAAACGACCGAGGCATTTAAGGCGACATACACCGCTGAACTGAAGCACGTCGTTCAGGAAATCCGGAACTGTCAGGACATCGCATCAGTGCAGAAATTCACTCGTGATTACCTGACCCATGCCGAAGACCTCGAATACAAAAGCTGCTTAGACAAACAAGCTGTATCGCAAATGGACATATCTTTACTTCGTGACAGCGTCCTGGAAGTGCTCAATGACGCCGAGGCAAAGGAAGACCCCGAGAGCGTGAACTTTGTGGCACCGTCAACAGACAAGAGGGTTCAAAGTCGTCTCGGCTGCACGGCACAATGCTGCTGGTGTGGAGCTCTGTGCTGGGGGTCACGGGGTCACCACGAGAACGATGACGACACAAAGGCGCACCACAGCTGCCACCAGCCTCGTGGCCTTCACGGCACGCATTACAGAGACACCAAACATTTATCAGCAGTGCCATGCAATTTATTAGTGGATAATTGCCGGGTCTATTGGGGAGACAAATGCATGAAGTGGTCCGAGGCAAAGGCCACGGAGTTCAAAACGTGGAAGTTTGACGCTCACTGTAATGACAAATTCGATGCACTCATGCGCTGGTTTTTTGAGATGTTGAACGAAGAGATCGCTGCATCGCGGAAACTGCTTCCTGCTACAAAAGAGGAATTGGTAAAATACGAATGCCAAAACCTTGAACATCGTTCTATACTGGCAGGAATTAGGGTGGCGCTAAAATAGAATGTCGTTAAAAAAACGGGCATTCATACTTAAAAATACTCGATTATAGAGCAGCCATTAGTAATCACGTAGAAACATGCATATACAATTAATTAGAGTTAAGGTACACACACATATTCCCATATACAGGATGCTTAAAAAAAAGTTAACACTTATATGGGACTATCGTGTTTAATGGAAAAATAACAGATAATAGACTTCGATTTAAAGCTTTCGTGACTGCAGGGATTCATCTTCTTTGTCCTTTCGGTAAAGTCACGTAGAATGGAAATAAAATAATAAAAATAAAACATAATAAAATAAAATTCACACGACGTTTCGGCCACAACACAAGTAGCCTTATTCTTAGTATTTTCGGTAAAGTCACGTTGAAGGGAAACAACAAAATAATAAAATATATATAAAACAATGAAAAATTCTCACGACGTTTCGACCATAACTCAAACGGTCGTCTTCAGGTGTGTTGGTTTGCATAAATTTATTTTTAAACGGCGCATTTATTTATTTATAAAAAACGTTAGCGCCATGCGCAACGATTTGGCAGTTTATTTAGGACTAGTCCATCTATATTCTGAAAAGAGGAGGGGGGAGATGAATTTTTTTTATTTTTTATAATGTATGCTGTCTGAAAGCCACTGTAAGCGTGAACAATCAATTAAGACCTGAAATGGTTTATCAAATCTTTCCAATGATTGCTAAGATAGAATCCATCTTCTCGGTTGAAATTGTCTCTGTGCTTGTATATGTGGATAGCCTCATGAACGAATCTCTCATGGAAGCCAGATGGCTTACAAAGAACCTCTGTCTTGGAAAAGTCAATAAAAAATCCGTGATCTGGTTCCGTCTGTAAAAGATGTGATTCCGGACATACAATACCCTGGTGTCTATAAACTAAGTTGCCTCTGTGGTAGTAGTTATATTGGAGAAACCAAACGCCATGTCTCGGACCGCATTCGTGAACACAAAGCAGACCTTAAACACGGTAGGACCAACACCTCGGCCGTGGCAGATCATTGTTATAATTCAGTAGGCTCACATGACATTGACTTTTCCAAGACAGAGGTTCTTTGTAAGCCATCTGGCTACCATGAGAGATTCGTTCATGAGGCTATCCACATATACAAGCACAGAGACAATTTCAACCGAGAAGATGGATTCTGGCTTAGCAATCATTGGAAAGATGTTTTAAACCATTCAGGTCTTAATTGATTGTTCTCGCTTACAGTGGCTTTCAGACAGCATACATTAAAAAATTTCGTCTCCCCCCTCCTCTTTTCAGAATATAGATGGACTAGTCCTAAATAAACTGCCAAATCGTTGTGCGTGGCGCTAACGTTTTTTTTTATAAATAAATAAATGCGCCGTTTAAAAATAAATGTATGCAAACCAACACACCTGAAGACGACCGTTTGAGTTATGGTCGAAACGTCGTGAGAATTTTTTATTGTTTTATATATATTTTATTATTTTGTTGTTTCCCTTCAACGTGACTTTACCGAAAAAACTAAGATTATGAATTACTGCAGTCACGAAAGCTTTAAATCAAAACAAGTAGCCTTCTTCAGGTGAAGAAACAGGTCTGTCCAGAAGACAGCGATTGAGTGAATGCTGCCAAGCAAGGACCGCGTCTTTTTAAAGGTGTGTGGGCGGAGTTAATTAGCATGTCACCCAGCCCCCACCTCAGGAGCGGAGGAGGGTGGCGGCTGGGCACAAGAAAACACCAAAGCAGAGCAACCAAGGTGCGTTGCTCTGTCCTGTGTTGCACCATAACCATGTTATAAACTGGACTACTATACAATACAATATTATACCCTCCAATCTAAAATACATGGCATAATATCATATCATAGACAAATTCCATCTTTGAATTATACAATGTATAATTAAAATTATAATTCAAATTATACATTGCATAATTCAAAGGTGGAATTTGTCTATGGATATGATATGCCATGTATTTTAGATTGGAGGGTATAATATTGTATAGTAGTCCAGTTTATAACATGGTTATTGTGCAACACAGGACAGAGCAACGCACTTTCGTTGCTCTGCTTTGGTGTTTTCCTGTGCCCAGCCGCCACCCTTCTCCGCTCCTGAGGTGGGGGCTGGGTAACATGCTAATAAACTCCACCCACACACCTTTAAAAAGACGCGGTTCTTGCTTGGCAGCGTTCACTCAAGCGATGTCTTCTGGACAGACCTGTTTCTTCACCTGAAGAAGGTTACTTGTGTTGTGGCCGAAACGTCGTGAGAATTTTATTATGTTTTATTTTTATTATTTATTTCCATTTTACGTGATTTTACCGAAAGAACCAAGAAGATAATAGACTGTAACATTTTAACAAATGTATTATGAACAAATGTAATGCTAATAGCTCAAAATAGTCAGTCTCCACTTAAATCTTGGGTTTCGTGACTGCAGGAATTTATATTCTTGGGTCTTTCGATAAAGTCACGTAGATAGGTTCAATGAAAATTACAAAAAATAACGAAAAAACTACGACGTTTTGATCGCAACACAAGCGGTCGTCTTTAAGAAAATAACAAAAAATAAACACATTTTTTGGTTATTTTCTTTGAACCTATCTACGTGAAATTTCGATTTAAAGCTTTCGTGACTGCAAGGATTCATCTTCTTTGGTTCTTTCGGCAAAGTCACGTAGAATGAGAATAAAATAATAAATTGATAAAATAAAATAACACGTGACTTTACCAAAAGACCCAAGAATCAGAGTCTCCACTTGTTCGCCATCGTTGTCAAGGCGCGCCTGGAATCTTCTCCAGGTGGTCTGCAGAGACCAGAGGCGCATTTCTCGTGGTGTTGTTTGAAAATTCTCTGAAGTGTTCACTTTATTTTGAAGCACCCTGTGTGTGTATATATTAATCATTTACCTGCACATTCTTACGTTAGATAATGCCCGCATGATGCAGATAAACGTCCCTTTATATGTGACCGTTGCTTCGGCATGAATGCACGGCCGTGCGGGGTAAACGAAGCGATGTCAACGCTTAGCCAAAGGGTCGAGGGTCAGCAGCAATCGCGACAACAACAAATTTTTACTTTAAACTTTCGTGACTGCAGGAATTAATATTCTTGGTTCTTTCGGTAAAGTAACGTAGATAGAAGAAAAATAATAATATAAAATAAAGTGAACACAAATAATAAAAATGAAATTAAAATAAAAAAAACAAAAAACACTTTACCGAAAGATCCAAGAATAACAACAAAAACACAGCGCTCGATTTGCTCCGATCGGAAGTGCGTGATGCCATCTCCCCATCAAGTGAGCGTGAGGCGGTGCTCGAGTGGAATTGCATCCAACCCCCCCAAACTTTTCAGCGGGCTACTCACCCCGACACCAGGAGCCTCGTCCACCCCCGCTGCTCGTACGATAACAAAACAGAGTGATGGCTTGTAACAAATCTGCAATCTGCAATGCTCACCACGCGCTACGAATGTGCTTACAGCTGTCACCAGACCTCGTTTTTAATGACGATCGCACGCACGCTTATTTGCTAAACGTGCTAGCGTTGTCATAGCTTTGGCATACACACACACATATATATAAATATATCTATAGTTATCATGTTGTACCACTGAGTAAAAAATGAGGATTATTTTGTGATAATATTGTAGCGCTATTGCGAGTTTAATTCTGGGAGTTGGGGGGCTTCATGTTATTTACGGGTTATGCTGCTCTTAGCTGTTGATTAGAATCAACGCCGATTAGAATGGTGGCTTCTTTATGATGTAAAATGAGTGAGTGAGCTTCGTTTAAAAGGCAAACCCAATAAATCAAAAGTTTGCCTTGAATGCGTCTCCTCGTTTCACTTCACGTTGCGTCATCACGACGACGTTGCGTCATCACGACGACATTGCGTCGACACAACTTTGCATCAACACGACGACGTTGCGTCAACACGACGACGTTGCGTCATCACGACGACATTGCGTCATCACGACGACATTGCGTCATCACGACGTTGCGTCAACACAATGACGGTGCGTCAACACGACGTTTCATCAACACGACGCTACATTAACACGACGTTTCATCAACACGGTGCCGTTGCGTCAACACGAAGTTGCATCAACACGACGACGTTTCATCAACACGACGTTGCGTCATCACGACGACGTTGCGTCAACACTACATTGCATCAACACGACGACGGTGCAACCTGCGGCTCCGGAACTGCATTCTGACTTAAAACTTTCGTGACTGCAGGAATCCATATTCTTGGTTCTTTCGGTAAAGTCACGTAGAAGGGAAACAATAAAATAATAAAAATACAAATATAAAACAAAATGTTTTATTATTTCATTGTTTCCCTTCAGCGTGACTTTACCGAAAGAACCAAGAATAGGAATCCATATTCTTGGTTCTTTAGGTAAAGTCACGTGGATAGAAATAATAATGAAGTGATTAAAAATAAAGTGAATAAAAATATCACGACGTTTCGATCGCAACACAAGCAGTCGTCATCAGGAACAGGGAGGTTAGCCTCTGAGGGCAAGCTGCTTATAAAGGTTTAGAGGTGGGCGGGGCAGCTAATGTTAATGTCGGGGAGGTCTCCGACATCGACAGTAGGTCTATACCAATCAGAGAGCTATTTATAAAGGTTTAGAGATGGGCGGGGCAGCTAATGTTAATGTCGGGCAGGTCTCCGACACCGGTAGTAGGTCTAAACCAATCAGATGTTTTTAAAGGTTTAGAGATGGGCGGGGCAGCTAATGTTAATGTAGGAGAGATTTCCGACACCGACAGTAGGTCTACACCAATCAGAGAGCTGTTTATAAAGGTTTAGAGATGGGCGGGGCAGCTAATGTTAATGTGGGAGAGATCTCCGACACCGACAGTAGGTCTACACCAATCAGAGAGCTGTTTATAAAGGTTTAGAGATGGACGGGGCAACTAATGTTAATGTAGGAGAGGTCTCTGACACCGTCAGTAGGTCTACACCAATCAAAGCATTGCACCTTGCTCCACAGACCCACACTGCTGACGGTGGAGGTAAACAAGAAAACACAAATGAAGTCATGACCCAAAGTGGTTGATGACATATTTCCAATGATTGCTGAGTCTATAACCTTCCTCTCGGTTGAAGTTGTCTCTGTGTCTGTATATGTGGATGGCTTCATGAACTAATCTTTTTTAATAGCCAGTAGGATGGCAAAGTACC